ATTAAATTTGTCACTAATATACCAATAGAGGATATTTTTCAAAGCTCCTTTCCTATAGATTTACTGTTTAAAATGATTTACTAAATTGATTTGTATTACGTTTAGGTGGGGAAAATGGCTAAATATTCTGAAAATATTAATAAATTATTCTAACTGATAATTGTTTTTATTGATTAAAAGAATAAATAAAGAAAATTTGCTTGTGTAAACATGCGATAATCAATATTTCTCCATTTTAAAAATTGGACAAAGCAGATAAACTGATAAGATTCGGTTTATGAACAGATATAAAGATTAAAAATTATAAATTTTCATGTTAAGATACGCTTTATTTAATATTATGATTTAGAATGTAAGTGGATACGTAAGTGAATGAACATATTCAGTCCAGGATCAGGTGAGAGAATGTATATTTTAAGTTACTACTTCCATTCCGTGTGCAAAAAGTAGGAATTTCTTTGTCATTTAACAAAATATATAACTCCCTAAACAATCGAATTATTTAGTTTATGTAAGAATTAAACCGTTGAAATTTGAACTCAAAGAAATATAGTATTTTTAAGATAAATATTTATCCTTTATCAATTAGTTTATTTATGACAGGTGTATCAATACTTAATCCTTCGCTAATACATCCGAAAGAATTTACCATTTTAAACGTATTTCATTCGAATTAATCCATTCATTTCCGTTATAAAACTGCAAAAAAGCATATTAAATTTGCAATTTTTAATGTAACAAGCTTTAAAAAATTTTAACGCTGGTATTTTTTTTTAATTTTATTTTTAACTTATCATTAAACAAACACCGTCACAGAAGAAACAGGTGAGTTTTAACGGGGCCTATCTGCGTCATAGATAATTCATTGTTTGTCATGACGTCATAGTTTTTGACAAATTTACAAAAATAGAACACCAGTCGAGAGACCAAAATTCCGTTATTGTTAGGGCATCTTTGTTTCGCTTCTCATAGAACCCGTGTAAAAGCATTTGATCCGAGACAAAGTTCGTCCTTGGACAATTCTACTTATCACAAACGGCAAATAGATAAATATTTGAAACGAAGAATTAACAGAACAATAAAATTTAATAATGGAAATATTCTTTCCTATAAATTGTTAGAGAAGAAGAGAGACAATACGAAGCGACATCAATTGATGCCATCATTAAAATTAACAATCTTTTTTTTCTTTTTATAAATTATCTCGTTTAGTTTCGTTAAATAGCTTTGTTTTATTAACAATTACTTGTGACAGTGATTTATTTAATTAATTAATTTACATTCGTTTTATTACGACAGAAAAAAAAAAAAAAATAAGTTAACGAGTATCGAGCCATACAATTGGATACACTTCGCGATTGGTGAATCGCGTTAGCCAATCAGCTTCGTCATTCTATGCACTGTGTATAATTTTGTTACAATCCTATCTAGCTGGCTAGCGTTGCGTTTATAATTAATTTTGCTTATCTCCCACGATAGCATCTTAAGCTATGATATGAAAATTGTTCAATTTTGCTGACCTCTAAACTATTTTAAGCGAAAATACTTGAATTAAATTGAAAAAAAACAAAATTATAAAATCTGCTTGTAAAGCTGAGCTAATGTTAGAATTGAGTAAATTATAATAATTTAAATGTTTTAAGTTCGAATTTTATAAACGAATAAACTTATTTTTAAGTGTTTCTTATTAAAAATTCATTTTTATTGCGTTAAAATCGGAGCCGGATTTAGAATTGTAGCCCTAAGTTGGCAACATACAAGAGGCTCTTCCTCCACCTCCCACCGAATAATAATAGGCAATATGTATAAACTGTTTTCGTGAATAGAACGAGGCCCCTCTTAAAGTGAGGCCCTAAGATATAGCTTGTTTATCTTACACGTAAATCCGGCTCTGATTTAAAATTGGCAATTTTTTTTTCATAAATTGTAAAAGAAATTTAATTTATTTTTAATAATTAATCAACCGAGAAATTTATAAAATTTATCAAAATTTAATTTAAAAGAATATTTTTTTTCTTCTAAATTTTGATTAAAGTAGGGTCTCTAATTGAATTAAAATTAATTATATTTTTGTTAAAATCTAAAAGATTTCTTTTTACTAAAACAATAAATAGAGTCTGAGTACTTCAATTTATAAAGTTCATTTGTCTATCTTACACGCTACTGCAGATAATGGCAGGAATATCAACATCAGTATGTTTGCCTGAAGGTTACAGAGAAAACTTTATACAAAATGGGAATATTATTAATAAAAACCACTTTTTTCTCGAATAACTACCTGCCAATTGCGTAGTCTTATATTATTTATTTATTACTGTTTATACAGTCGAGTAAAGTGTGGCGTTGTCTGACAGAAAACAGATGCCCCATAAGACTCCCGCTTCCATTAGCTACCAAATGAGGGCCATATATCGTGCTGCAGCCAGGGCGTTGGATGGCGCCTGTCCCTTCCATTAGATCTGTGCCAAGATCGGACTGGTTCCTTCTATAGACGTATATATATATAGCCTATCTGCTTGACTTTCTGTTAGATTTTTGGCATTTTCCCCCTCCTTCTTCCTCCCCGTCAATGCGGATGTGTCGATACAATTAAATATTCGTAAAAAATTATAACCTAATTAGAAAATGTTTAAGTAAAACAGGCTATAAAGCTTGAGATTTATATCTCTCATCTCATCTACCAGTAGACACGCAACTATTTAGTTTTTAATGGCGACTGTTTACTGGTTTTTGATATTAATCAAGTTTGTAACTAATAAATTAACTTGTTTATACTAAGATAATGAGCCTGTTTTTACAGAAATTAATCCCCCCTTTTTTAGATGAGACGTGAAAAGTTAAGCTGAGTAACATTTCATAACATAAAAAAAGTATAATTATACTTTCGCAGCATCACTTTAAATTATTTTTTTCTTAATTATTTTACTTTATAAGCGCTTTCTCTATAGTAAATTCGTATAATTTGCTCCCTCAGATGATCGATTTCGGTTGCAAATTATCGAGTAATTACAAGATATTTGGAGGTTTATATACTCGGATGAGTAAATATAATAAATTTATCAAATGTAACATGAAGACCAAAAATACTTTCGCTTAATTCCGTATGGGATAATTTATCTGGAGCTGTAAAATCAACAGAAAAAGCAGAAAAAATAGTTTAATAGTGACGTATGTGAATTTCATAGAATGAGGTAGAGAGGGGGGAAGGCAAGAAAAAAAAAGAGGAAAGAAGCAGATGGTGGCAAGTAAAGTCAATCCCCGTAGAAGTTTTGAAGTGGTCCATTTTTGCAACATTTTATCTCAGCTGGAAGGATGGCTTTCTATCTAATCTTGGCTCCCGCCTTACACAGCAATCTGGATAATGCTCCTCCTTTACTTCTCTATATACCTTTTCTTTTTTGTTTTCGTCTGCTTTCAGCTTCATCTTTAACGAATTGGACAGGTGTCAAGATGGATGTAATTACCTTAGATAAATTACTTTTCTAAATTCAGAATATATTACTGACTAATGCTTTTTTTGATATTAGTTTCTGCACGATTTGAGATAGCACTAATAGTCTATTTGACCCATTTACTAACTCCATAATTCTTTGACGTAGTTAAATTTAAATTTAATTTAGTCTTTTAGCAATAATTTTTTATTTAAATGTTAGATAAGTCCGGTAAAGAATAGGTTTTTATAATGTAATTGCTTAGAATATTTATCTTAATAGGAGTTTTGAATATTCTCCTCCCAGTTTTGAATGGATTTTATTTTAAAAAAGTTCAATTTTCTAGACGTAACCTCCGCTTCTACTTATTAAAATTCTGTAAAGTTAACACGCGTGATTGATACAGTCGAACCTCTCAACAACGGCCACTGACGGAAACATAAAAAATGGTCTTCGTTTAGAGGTCCATTCTTGGAAGTTCGACTGTATATTAATTTGTGTAGACGTATACATACGTGATAAGATAATTAGACTTTATAAACTTAAAAACAAATGAATTTAACAGCTTTAATTTAAAAATATAATTTATTTTTTCTATATTGTTCTGTTATAATATATTGACAGATCCTATATCTGCACTTCAAAGAGCAAATAAAGGTAGTTTTCAAGTCTATCATTGTTCTCCCGTGTGTAGACTCAAGGCCTTCCAATAAATCATCAAATAAGAATAATAATAAGCTTATAATTTATAAATATTTTATTAATTATTCTAGATAAGGAATTTTACTCGTTTCTGCATAGGCCTACGAGGAAAATTGCACAAAATAATTATTTAAAATTTTTCTATAAGTTACTGTTTATTTATTCTAAACTATTTTCTTTTTTAAATATGTTATAGTTAAACCTCTAAACCACGGTTCTGACGGGAACATAGAAAATTGACCGTTGTTAGGAGGTTATTTCAACAGAAGCGTCCCTAAATATTGCCATCGTTTAGAGGTTTCCGTGGTTGAGAGGTTATTTCAAAAGAAACGTTCCTGTAAACGACCTCTAAACGGGCGTTATTGGGAGATTCGACTGTATTAAAAGCTTTCAATTATGAACTTATGCAAGTCTGCCCTTGAGGCTTGTAACAAAACAATGTATACGATCTTTATACTTTCTTTGGGAGTAAAAACGTGCATGAATATTGTTTAAATGTATCTGATTTATAAAACTGATAATTTTGTAACTAGTTTTAAAAACAGTAATTTAAATTCTCAGTAAGCTAACACATTGGAGCAACTTCAAGGTTAAGTCTATTATTAATCGAAGTGCAAAATTTATTATAGGAAATAACCATTTTAAGCAAAATAAGAGTAAAAAATAAGCATTTATAAAGCAAAAAATCATATAAATAATCTCATTAACTATAATATTTTAATGTGTTTTAATTATATTTCAAATTAATTTTTTTGCTGGAAGATTTAAATTTAATTCATACAATATAAATTTAATAAAAATTTTTATTATATGAATTAATTTTATTAAAATAATTTAAATTAAATGATAAATAATAGATTTTTAAAAACTTTTTCTTGTGGTTCATTAACTTGTATGGCCTCCACTCATTAAATACACTGACATCTGGCGATGGAAGAAATAACTATAATTAGAAATTTGGTTTCATTTCTTGTTTTGGACGAATTCGAATAATATTTTGCGAATTATAAAATTTAATTTTAATTATTTTAAGCTTAAAAAACCAATTTTAATTTCTATAATTCGAACTAAAGTAAGGTCTACAAGAATTAAAGTGTGTAAGGTTTAAGATAAGGCTCTAAGGTTTAGTTGTTGAGTTTACTAAACTTTTTAATATAAAACTTTAACAAAATTATTTAAACTTTATTCATTTTAAAGTATATTAAATGGTGCAGTTTTTAAGAAAAGAGAGGAGGTGAAAATCCTTATTTTTAAGGTAAAACTCCTTATAACTTTAAGGACACCTTACAAAAGAGGAAAAAAATTTTAATAATTCTTTGAAAACATAAAATACAAGAACATAAAAAAATGGCCATTGTTGGGAAGTTATTCAAAAGAAACGCCCCTGAAAATAAAGCCACTGGTTAGAGGTGGCCGTCATTTAGAGGTTATTTCCTGAAAAATGGCCGCCATGTTGAGAGCCGTTGGCCGTTGTTTGGAGGTTATTTTGTGTGCACTTCAAAAGGAAACGTTCCTAAAAATGGGCGCAGTTTAGAGGTGGCCTTTATTGGAGATTCGCCTGTATCTACTGTATCTAGTTTACCTTTTAAGGTTTATAATATATAACAATAGATGTTAATTTTAAAGAGTATTGTAAGTGAAACTAATTAAAAAAATAAAAAACTATATACAAATTTTCAGAATTTATATCTTTATAATCTCCCGGAATTTCATCAGAAAGATTCGTAATTATTACAACTTACAAAAAAAAAAAAAATTGTGCACCCGACAGGGAACTAATTGAACAAATAATATATTCCCTGAGGAGAACATTATATGGTACCGAACACATCATTTTTGGCACTTTGTTATACATAACTTGAGTATTTTCCTTCACGAAACGATTCCATATACAACAAATGCTGGTATATATATAACACGGTATAGCATGGGGTGCTTGGTTCTAACCAAGTTGGGTTGTGAATGGAGTGAAAGACCAACTGCTCGGCAGCACACAGACTAGATGATGAGGTCTTAAATGGATGTTCAGGAACTCATGATTGTATGAGGTCGTACGGATGATTCGAGTGACTGCAACGAGGGACTTGATGTGGATTGTGGTTGATACAGGCTCGGAGACTTGACAGAAATAGTGGAGTAAGGAACTGGCAGTGGGGAGTAATTGTCGGCAGTTACTGCTTGAGGTGATCTTTGGCTCCCTGTGGTGATGAGTGCTGGGCTGATCGACTGTCCGCTACAAACTGCCGTTGGTGACGGCTGGTAGAAGGCGAAAGAGCCTGTACTTAGTGCCAAGGTGGTGGCATCTTTGCCTGATGAGCCATAAGAAGCTGTAGAAATATTAAAAATATATTAGAATTTTATTTCATTAAGCTGTTATATGTGACATATAAACCGATTTACTCGTAAAAATAAGCGCTATACAAAGAAAAATAAAGGATTTTTATACATTATAGAGTGAATTTTTTTTACTCTTCCATGTCCTATGGAACATTTACAAGAATTCAAGTGTATAGGCCTAAACTCAATTAGTTATACACAAGTGTTTGATTATAAACTTGGCCTATAATTGATTAAGATTTAACAATATTTGAAGGAACTATTGGCCTATAGGCTATTTTAATTTTTAATTATAGATGTACTGTACGTATTGATAGAGAACTTTTGAAAGGCTCAAGATTAAAAATTTCGTGTTGATTCTGGCATAATTATAAGCTTAATTTGATAATAACCGGGAACAAGTTAAAGTTTTGTTTTGTAAGCTGATACTGACGTTACTTAAATTTATAGCAGGGATATTATGGTGGCGTTAGGACGTGTTTAACATTTTCCAAGCCAGCTATGCAGCAGCGTGTAGGCCTCATATTTTGTTTGAAGATTTAGAAGACTTACCCGATGTCTCTAATTTAGGAACAGGAGGAGATGAAACACTAACATTGTTATCGGAGCTCTTTACACCATTTTTTGATTTTCGCTTTCTAGTTTGAATGCTGTCTTTCTTCATAGCGAGGGGACGATTCACCTAAGGGAACAAATAATAATATTTTCGATTTGTGGAAAATATCTTTGCTGTGATTCAGACTTTAAACATATGTTAAACTTAGTTTTAGCTAACAAATTATGACTCAAACCGAACAGGACACGTCCGTGTTGAGTCATCCATTCCATTATTCGATGAGTTTTGAGCTACTTACCCCATGTAATTTAAAGTAAAGACCACAGGCATTGCATACAGATTCCCCATGACTGTTCCTTCTCCACAATGAGGTTGTAGTGGTATGGCAATTAGAACAGGATAATCCAACCCTTCTAGAAGCAGACTGGAAAGAAAAATAAAGGGTTTACATTTTATAAGTGTTTCTTCTTGCTCTTTTTTTTGTTACAAGAATCCATTTTCCCACCGATAATTCAAACAGAAGCAAACCTTCTATAAACAGATGTTTTACAGACTAAACATAGTCGGTGGTCGTAAACTATATAAGAAAATAAATTCATTTACAGTTTTATTTAGTTATGTTAGGGGTCATATCTAGTTACGCGGTTACTATAATTATAAAATGAATCCCTCTACTCACCAATCTTCTTTGATTCTTGACCAAAGGACGGTTCATGCCGTTCATCTTGTGGTAGAGACCACATGCGTTGCACAGATAGTGACCTGTGCCATCCCTCCTCCACAAAGGGGTAGATACGGCCCCGCAATTAACGCATTCTCGACCTTCTTGTGCCGAAAACAAATCGTCATCTGTAAAAAATTATTTATAAACAGGTGGTAGTGAGTAGAAATAACGCAGACGCTACTGACTTACATCAGAATGGAGCCGTGTCACGTGGTGTGGCGCCATATAGTTTTTGAATAGGCTCGAAGAAACCTTATACCCCGTGTAAAGCAGTGATGGTTCCTTACTAACCAGTATAGAATGTATAGGAGGTGACCACACTTACTAGTCAGAGAGTGAATTCACCTTCTATCAGGGTCAATAGGGGGTGAGAAGAGTGGGAGGAATTCCGAAAAAAAGCACCGAATGCCGGATAAATTTATATCTTTTCTGACCCTCGCTATTAATATGGTCTTTCAGGCATAACGACCCTACAGCTGCCTGTTTTATATCAAAGAATTTTAAAGGATAGAAAGTAAATTTTTCTCTCTCCGTACGGCAATACGGAGTAGTAATAAAAATCTGAGTCTAGATTTCTTTCCACGCCATCTTAGACCGTCAGTGGCATGTAAACACGTTCGGTTGTGCAATACAGTTAGTCTGTCAACAGGAGCAGGAATGGCGTCTTAGGATCTGTCTCGTTATAGGATAGCCTTAGTCTGGAATTCATTGAATTCCACTTATTAGTCCCACTTAGTAACACATCCAAGCATTATTATTAAAGAATAAATTGCGAAATATGCTCCTCTTTTTTTTCTTTACTTTGTTTTTTAAGGTGTTGAAACTTTATTTAGTTTCGACACAACATTTATTTCACTGTTTATACTCTTTCAGGGTAGAAGTTTGACCTAATTCACCCTATGTATAAGAAGAGTATGTTGATAGAAAACTTCGTAGAAGACTTTTATGAAATAATAACATTAATAACTCTTTCTAAAAATAATTTTTATTAATTTTTCTCCTAGGATCTGCTTCGTAGTTTTTGATCTACAAGCTAGCTTGTGCAGGGTGGTTGGCTAAGGATTTCCTGCTTTACTTGATAAGAATTGAGCGGAAAATTTTCATGTAGTGGTAAAAGACGTTGGCGGGAAACTTAGACGAAAATATAGACGATATTATTTACCATTTTTATATTAAAAATTTTATTAATTAATTGAATAAAGAGCGCGTGGTTTCTCTTTAGCATAAAAGATCATTTTGTTAGCATAAAAATTAACTTTTTTCTTATTAACAACCACTGATATTTATAGAATTTGAGCTTCTTTACATCTTGCAACTAAGCCTGTTGATATTGCAGTCTTTATATAACTTAACTAGCTCATTGATATTATTATAAACACTGAAATTTATCCCATTAGAAACTAAGGCTAAAGACCTTATTATTTTTTTTTTAAAGAAAATTAGATAATAATTAAATAAAACTCGGACAAATATCAGCTGTTATGTAGCAGTGAAGAGACAACACACACACACCATACTGAACCTTTTTTTATATCAATTTTTCTTATTTTTTTCCCTCCCTTCTTTTAGGTGACAAGCAACGAAATGTGTCGACTTTGACGCTTGACATACTTTCTTTGACTTTCTAACCACGGATACGGCCACGTGACTTAGAAGTAACACGATATTTTTGGCTTTTTTACTACATTTTTTCCTTCCTAAACAGAGAATAATTAATTCATCATACGTCACATTTCGTACTTGTCACGGAATAAGGATAATTAATCGAGTTTTTTATTAAATTTTTTAAGTTAATTAAGAAAAACTCACCCATTATAGTCCGTGAATTGTATGAAGAAGAGACCCCCTGCACGCCGTAGTGTACAGTGGGATTTGAATGCACGGTCGAGTTGGCGGCATCGTAAGACGACCAAGGTTCCGGGTTCAAGTACGGAGAATAGTGGCCTATACCGTTTGTTCTCTGTAGAACCTGGTTAGAAGAGGTTAGAACCTGCTGATGACTAGAAAATGCGTGTATCCTCTGACCTATGGATGGTAGAGGTTTTGGACAATAATCCTCCGCTGCCGGGTTCCACACATTCTGTATGTGTGATGATGTTGGATTTAGCTCCTGATTATTGCTACTGTTACCTAAATATTGAAACATCTTCCCTGCTGCGGACGTTGTTGTCGAGATAAATTCAGTAGAAGGTACTTGGAGGTGATGATAAGTGGGTATAGCCACCGGTTGTGTATCCAATGGAAACACATCTCTATTAGTTGGAGACGGTGACATGTAACTTGTAGCAAGTTGCACGTTGGGTGATCGAAGATGAGCACTGTAATTATCGTGTCCGGACACTATATGCGGGGTTTCGTTCGAATAATCCGGGGGCCTGTAACCTGGAGAATATGACGTACTCTCAGGTGATGCAGTTTTGATGTGGGGGTGCAGAATATCCGATTCTTTAACGTCATTATCCAAGTGTTCCATAGAGTGATCTTCCTTCTCAGCTTCTGTGCTCGAAGGTGACACGCTTGGCGATTTTTCTAGCCAACTGTTAGGCTTTCTGTCCTCCATTGTTCGATTTGCGATACAAAAACTGAAAGAGATATTATCGATGATTGTGAAATCTTATTGACACAGCCACCTTTCAGTTAGAGCTCAACGATAAGCTATCGGGCAATTTTCTCAAATACTCAAATACTTCTATACTAAAACACTACTAAGAAGATGCTAATTTGCACGGTTTCAAGCTCAAAAATAAGCGAGAGCTTTGCAAAATTTGCTAATTTTCCGCATCAGCTGTGTCCATATTTTTTATTTTTTTTGGAAGGAATAATCCTCGATTATTTAAATAATTTTTCTTTAATATTCTGCATCGCATCACTTGCTAACTTTTGTAATATTTATAAGCAAATTTTATGCCGTAATTTTTCTTTCAATTTATCAAATTAGAAAAGTTAATCATGAAGATGCACTAGACATTAGCGATATAACTGCAGCCTAATCTTTGTACTGTGCCGAATTATCGTTCTCACGTCAAAGGAAGATAATTTTGTTACCATCAAGGTTAGGGATAACATTGAAAAGATAAAGAAGAAAATAAAGGGTTTGTATCATCACTTTGGACTTTATTGTTGTGTGATGGAAGTTTTAATTATTAATATAAAAGTTTAGGCCGTCGCAGTTTCGCTATAACAGGGAAATTAAGAAACAATTTTCTAATTAATTTCGCTAGCGGAATCAAATTAATTTGTTTTAAAATTTCTTTATTGTGTTCTTAATGTGATAAAATCTTTAATTAATATTTTGCATATAAAAATATTATTGAAATGCTAATTTATAAGCCGTAAGCTTGTACAGTTAACTTGTACAGAGCAAACTTTGTTCCAAGATGCGACTTTAATTAATATCTTCGTAAAAGTATTCATTGTAAGAAGGAATTCATATCGAAATTTACTGAATTCATTGTTTGTTAAGAAATTTATTAAATATTTATTGCATTTTTTAATAAATTAGCGCCTAGTAAGTTCAGTCAGATGAAGCAATTTTCATGCGGATATTTTTAGGTAGATGCTAAATTTCTATACAAATTTCTTAGTTTTAATATTATTGACATACTTTCTTAGGTATTATAATACTTAAAATTTTACTATAAATTAATTTAATTAAACATTTAAATATTGTATTATGATTTAAGTGGTCATTTCGCAGCATAAACTTGTGCACAAATCACTCAGCGCAAGGTTATGTCGACATTTATTTTAAATTTTAAATGCTGATTTTTTTCCCGATTTATTAGGCCAATAAATTTTATTTGCAGAGAATTTTCTTAATAAATCTCAATATAATTTATGCAATAATAATAATTTTATATATAATTAGCGTTTAATATTCAAAAAATGACGTTAAAGTTTATAATTAAAAAAAAACATTTTCCATTTTAAAAAATGCATTATTTGTTACATAAAATTTACGTTAATGTATATTTTATAAGGAAATTTAGTAAATTAATGAAGCAGGATGTTTTATAGTTCAAATACATAATATTTAATTATATATTCAAACGCAAATCCGCTTATAGATAAACGGTCGAACTTCTTATCTCCACCATTCAAGAAGGAAGTTGGTAGAGTGGACTCATCCGCTTCGATTTATGCTAAAATTTTATGTAATTTTACATCCAATGGTCACTTTCTAGAGACTATAAAGCTTGGCAAACATTACAGAATTATTAAAAATGCAAATTGGAAGCTGTTAATCCCATAATATATAAGCAATTTAGTGCAAAGTAAAGGGAGCAGAAAGCGCTTTTCAATATCCTTTCTACGGTTTATTTTATGTCTAAATTTAGAAGGCCTATATATAAAAAACTTGCAGAAGTTCGCATTCATTATTCATTTTCAATTTTATTCATAAAAGTAAAGAGTAAAAGAATATTTAAGATATTATTTAACTACCGCAACGAATCGTGCAAATTCATTAGTTACGGTTCACGCAAGTTTAGCTATAAAAATACAATTTACAGGCTTATGATTGATTGCTTTAAGTGAAATGAGAAGTTGAAATCGTAAATTTTCCGTTGGCAGATCTTGTTATTAGCTTATCATAAATGTATGTTACCTCTTTGAAGGAATGAATATCAAATCTCACCGTTTGATTATTCATTCCTCTAACCTTATTGGTATGCTAAATGTTTAATGCTTAATTTCAAAATTTTCTCTACCTGAATATTAAATAACAGAATACTAAATTAGTAGACTTAATCATTAATTAACTAAAATAATTTTTATTCTAGATTTTTAATAATTTATTAGAGAATTTTACGTAAATTTTTCTAATAATTTAATACCTTTTTTGAACGTTATTTATAGAATTATCTACACATCTATCTTGAATATTGTCTATATTTTTAGATAAGATTATAATTATCGAAGACTATGGGAAATATTACTGTAAATTAATATTATATAGTAGCATTTACAGGCGCCTGTTGCATAAGACGATAGGCGCTTACATAGCATCTGGTTTTTACATAATTTACGATAACTAATTAATCAGTAATTCTCATTAATTGTAAATATAATTAATCTAGATTAAACATCGTATCATCGCGCACATTCGAAGTAAAAACACTTAAACTAAGGCCTCTATATATAACTAATTATAAGATTTTGTTAGCCCTGTGATAAGATACCACGAAATTCTTAATTATCCTAAAGAGTGTATCGAAAGAGACGAAGCAGTAGCACTTACCCTTGTCGTTGGTCTACTTTAGAATTTCGAAAAAGGTCAGAGAGTAAAGACTTTATTTATTATTGGTCAGTACTAAACTGACCTCTAGTAAAGGGAGCAAATTAACAACTGTTTGCTCTGTAAAACTACCCCCAATTATGGTGCCAATAGTTGTAAAATTTTAACATGAATGGGCTTTTAAATATGCCTGAATCATGAATCATCAGTAGACATTTTTCACAAATATAAAATGATTCATTCGTCAACTCACTGCTTCATAGTTTGCTTTATAACTGGATCTATCCTTAGAGCCTTAAGAATTTAGTGCGAGGTTATAAGAGAATGTAACCCAGAACTTGATTTATTTTCTGATCATTAAAACTAATTTTGATACATCTAAAGTATTAAAAATTTAAATATGACCTTCTATAAGTCAGTTTATGTCATATAAAACCCCTTTAATTAATAACATAAATAAGAGATCCTTAAACGTACTTTAATTGTAGGATAATTATTAAATTAACAATGTTTTGAAGTATTAATTAACTAATAAAATTTAATTTAAGGATTAATTTTTTTAAAGTTTGCTTCTACAATTAGCGTTATTGAAATTAATCCTTAGGCTATTATGCAATTGTGGGGCTAACAGAGTAAGCACACCTCTAGCTAAAAAGTCCATTAGGCACCAAACTCTTTAAGCTTTGTTCTTTAAAAATGCTTTTATGTTAAAATTTCCCACATAAATTATATTTTTACAAATTAAAATTTGTATTAATCCAGGAACCACTGTGATAAAACCAATAATTACTGAGTAAAGGTTTTTTTCTTATTGGCTCGCCTATAGCCTTAAACTATTTTATGGCTATTTTAAACGGGAAATGTACTATTTTTCCTCTAAAATTGCTTCAACAAAACAAGATAACTTAATATTAATCTATAATTAATAGCAATTGATAAAATAAAAAAAAATTGTAGAATAATTTTGGAAATTATATTTTCAACTCTTTTGATAATAAAGAGACGATGGCTTCAAACTATTGTCATTTATGGGATCGGAGGTTATCGCGATGAGTTGATAATTCTAACCATGTAACACAATCTTCAGAGAAGGACTACAGCTGATAGTTGCTACATGTGCTGGATAACAACCTGTAGCTCTCAAATCAACATTGCAACCTTCTGTAACTTAATGCTATGATAGCTTAAAAACTTGTATATGTACAGTTCAATTCTCCTTAAATATTCCTCCATTTTACTCGAAATTAATTAATTATCATCGATTATTTAACTGCATTAACATAGTTTAATCACTTAGCAACAATATAGTATTCATGGAATTTCTCACTATTGGTTAGTTATCGGTGATGTAATAGTAATTGGGTGACGTGTTAAACAAAATTTATCATCGAAATTTATCGGTGACGTCACCACAATGGAAGAGTTTTAAAATCCGATCGAAAATCATACGTTATTTTATTTTATTTTTTAAAATATTCGTTCTAATTTATACGAACAAAGTACACTCACTTTTATCAAAGGTAGCAGCCATGTTATAAGGTATTTATCAATTTCGAGTGCTTGGACTCGGTAAATATCTAGTGGAAATACTCGTATCGGCTTGAAAATTGAATAAAAATCTTGATTTTTTAGCTACTAATCATAATTTAACTGGTTTACAGTGTTTACTTTCAATTGTGTGCCCACTTTAAACGTGTTAGTCACACTACAACTCACAGAAACGCCCCAGTTTAATGCACTTCTTTCGAGTTCATGTTAGCTTATAACCTCACTAAAACCTTCCGAGTAATCCTATAATGATTTATTAACGGTAGAAAAAAACTCCATTTGTCACCGGCCATCTAAAGACGGTATCATGTTAATTACCCCTATCAGTTAAGTATAAAATCGCCAGGCAAAACTATAAACTGGCGATTTTCTCGCTAACGGTTCAATCAACGGAACTTAAACTAAGTATACTTTTTTAGTACATAAACTCAGCAATATAATCGCTATATAGCACAAGGAACACGGTGTCTCTACAAAGACTATCATACAGATAAGAATTACGACATGCTACCATATATGATAAGCCAAGTAATAGTCAAGATACTATCTGAAGATACCACGAAAGATAATAGACACGTGTATCTATTAGAAAAAATATATAGAGCGATTATATACCGTAGTTTATATACATATATATAGGATATAAAAAACGGCATAAGATTCTTACCTTTTGTAAGTTATTAAGGACTGAACGTGTATAGTGCTTATAGACGTCGGTCTTACGATCCTTATCCCGTTGTTAGTATATATAAAGTGGTCGTGTAGTCTTACATCTGCACTCTGCCCAGCGAGGCAGGACGCTTAGGGTCATGTGGGGCTGGCAGTCACCAAGGAACCAACCTACCCCAGCCTTGGACATCTTCCTGTTTCCGATTTCCTCAGTTAAGTTCCTTTAGATTTTGTTACTGGTAAACATATATTGTGATAGCACTTCTTAAGGCATATTATTTAATCTGATATCTTTTATTGCATTTATTATTTGTTATCTTTTACTTTTTCCAATCTTTTCGTGTTTTTCTACTTAAAGGTTTGTTTAATGTTATTTATGCGTGTATCATATGACTTGGGGTGGGTTTAATTTTTGCTTTTCCAGTTTTAAAAAGTCTAATGCTTTGTAGTATAAAGTTAACATTTCTAAAGGAAAAAACTTTGTAAAAATTACGTTTTTATAGGTCTTTCTGCTGCGAAAAATGCCTCGTTTGCAGATTTATAAGTCATAAACGTTTAAAAAAGCAAATACGTCGACGAAAGAAATTGAAAGTCTTTCTAGACTTAGAAAAAATATGTATAGTAAAAGACGTAACAACGAATATACACACAAAACTGCGACAAATTAAGCTTAAATTCTACAAATAAATTTAAAATATATATGCATATTTACCTGTATTATATTTAAAAATATATCGCAGAAAGTATGTGGAAACGATTTTGTTTTCAATAAGAAAATTTAAGCTGCTGTAGAGGCATTATAATGATAACCTAAAAATCATAATCTTTACTCATCTACTCATCACTTATATTAAATTTCACTGTATAACCATTCCTTTCAAAGTTCACCTTGTGAGAGAGACTACGAGTTATGACTGGACAGTAAATGCGTAAGTTATAAACACAAGTCAACATTCAGAAATAAATAAATTGAACTTATCCTCTACACATTTTCTCATCATAAGAGATTCTCTGTTGAAAACTTCTAACCTTGGAACATAGTTGACCTTTAGCACCAAGGTCGACTCCGCTTCAAATAAATGTTTCCAACTTGTAAGCAACTTTCTTGATGTTAACTGGGATCAAGAACTTTTAAAAAATTGCTCAAGATACTAATTTTTTTTAAAGAAAATTCTTTCATTTATGTAGCTTATTTCGCATTTTTGTGTACTCTGTACAGTTTTTTTGATTGTACGAAACGTGTCACTGCGATTGATTAACAAATTTTTATCGCTCATTAAGTAATAATTTGCTTAGCTTTCGAGAAATTATTGTATAAGTCAGCATCTTTCATTCATTTATTTAAAGAATAGCATCTTGTGAGAAGTTTTTCGAGATTACTAACTCTGTAAATTTATCTTCGAAAGGATTAGATCATTACTTTTCAACTAAAAGGTAGCCTTATAAGGAATCTAATTAAGTTCTCTATAAAGTAAGGAGCCTTATTTGCCTTGTAAAGCCTATATTTTTCACATGCCAGACTATTTATTCAAGCTAATAATTACGTTATTGCCTTATTTTCATATGAAATATTGCAATTAATCAGATATGATCTTTATTTTACAGCAAGAGGTCAACACATCTTGTGAATAAACATATCGAAAGACTACTTGAACTTACAACCCTTCTAACCCATATTAAGAAACTCACCTCATTAATCTATTTAATTTATACATTTGTACACAACTTAACATCGAAAACAGCCAAAATTTATAAATAATTTGACTGTTTTTTTCCCCATTATTTTATTAAATGTCCCGCTAAACAGCAAGATTCTTTGACACGAGATGACTATCTTTAAGAATTTTCATCAGTTTATATAAAAATAATCTTTTAACGATAAAAACGATTAAATTTTCAGGTATTTTATAAGATAAAATTCTTTATTTCGTACGAGTTAATCCTTTAATAATCAGGTTTTCTTAAGACTTTAAAATTGCAATTGATTACCTCTTACATCATTTTTATTAATTTTTAAAGCAAATTTAATCACGTGAAGTTTAATAATGCAAATTTCATGTTTGATAAGCGTTTATTTTTGCAATTTTCTAATAGTTTTCTTATTACAAGTAACTTAAAAACATTTACAAAACACTGAAACTGAAAAACAATTTATGCAATAAGCTGCTTTATCAGCAAACTCGTTTAAAACTCACATTTTTTCACACAAAAACATCAGAAAAATGCCCAGAAAATATAATAAGTAAAACAGAAATCAGCTTACAATAAATTTTGATTTTTATTATTGCATTATTATTTTAATTACTGTAGTCATAAGATTTCCTATAATAAACACAGTATGGATGTTGTTTATCGCTTTAGAATTCGATTCTTGTTATGATTCAGATGTCAATAAGTAAAACAAAATTAATATTAAAATAAAACTAATTTTAAAATAATGCATAAACATACTCAGATGCTACCTCTGCGTACACAAAGGTATCGTATCAACAAAAACAAAACAGTTTTACTATACAAATCCCTCCTCTTCAGATAATCATTATCTTCCGACAATTTATACGAAAATATCTCTCTTTAAAGATAACTTATCAAAACTTACATATTATTAATTAAGCTATCGTGATATGTAGAATAAATATTTCCTTCCCCATTTTTATCAGAAACTTGTTAATTTATTAAATCGGTGAAAACACCTCTAAATTACTGATAAATGCTCATCTGCAACATAATCCTGGAATGCCAACGTGCTACTAAGGTAACAAAAAATTAAGGTAGTATTTAGGTGGCTCCATCTCTCGTCATGTTAACAAAATAAAAAAATACACACAGAAAACATACGCAACACTAAACACACACAGAACACAATACACACATAGAACACACAACACACTATACTTCCTTCGTATTTGAATAACTGGTTCATATCTGAAAGTTTATGCTTTAAAAATATTAGATTTATTCGTGGAAGTAAAGTGAAATGCTTTAATAAGTCATGTCCCTTTACATGGGATCTAGAACCAGGAACACTCGAAGTTATGACGTCATAACCAGAAGTAGAACATTATAGATAAGGATAGTGCCACTGAGACATCTTTCTGCACTTAAATCCTAACAGAATTGCTCCATTCTTTTAATTTAATCAATTAACAACTTTTCTTTTTATTTATTGTAATTGTGAGACTTTAAATACGTATTGAATAAATGTACAGTACTGTTATATTTAAAAATAGAAAATAAAATTTATCTGTTTACGTATCCGGTTTAGTGTTTTTAATACACGAAACTAACGTTAAAAAACAATTATTATATTATAAAATTTAAAACGCTTGAATGTAGATGTCTCTGCATGCAGTTTCTTATCGACCAATTGTAGTAGAGAAATCGATTTGAATATTTAAATGACGAACTAAACCACGCCTTATTGTTTTAAAAATTTATCCAATCGCAAACTTAGTTTCGATTTCTCTCATCGCTTTGTTTCTTTGTAGTTTCGATTAGGTACGAGAGATGGCGACACATGTTCATTTTATTTTATTTTTAACTTTTAATGAATAAAAAAACTCAAATAAAAATAAATAATCATTTATTTATTTATAATACATTATGTTGTATTTTATACAATTTTTAAATATATAAAAAAGTATAAAAAATTTATTTAAAATGAATATTTAAGTAAGGGCGTGTATACATACAATAATCCATAATATAATAATTTTTAAAATTAAAAAAAAACAAACGACGTGATTAGTCTTTAAATTTCTCTTCCCTGGAAAGAAAAAAAAATATGTAAATAAAATATATAAAAAATAATTAATTTTTATATTAGAAAAATTCTTTACTCACCCACAGCATTTACTACTAAAGAGGCAACACATGAAATTTCTTACAGAATAATTCACTCCTTCATCACATACGATGCATGCTGTGATATTAAAATGATGATGAAAAAACTGAGCTTCAACAAATGGCATATACAATTCAGCCATAAGATATAAAAATAAAATTGGAGTAACTATAATTATCCTTCTTAATGCAATCTATAAATAATAATAATAATTTTTATTACACTCGTGTACAGTTTCAGTTCTAAATTTAGAGAAAATACTAAATATATATAAAATTTTATATAGGCTATATATTTATTAATAAGATTTTTTTCAATTCAAGATTGAGTCCATAAAGATATCCATCTACAAAGAGGGAATTTTAGGTTATGGTTTCCAATGAGGATATTTTTTATAAATTAAATTTTCTTTGTATTATTCTATGTTTTATTATATAGATTATTACCTTAAGAGTTCGAATTAAAAATAGGAAAAGTCTTTTATGTGAATAAGGAAGGAAACACTATAGACAAATAAATAATAAACGTTTATGTACTGTACTAGTAAATAGAAAAAATTCTGTAAGAAAATACAAGAATATGTTGTAAGAATTTTTAATTAAATTAAGCCTTAATTTTCTATTATTAATTTCAAACTGTATAAAGATATCAATTTTTATAAACTTTACATGCATACAAGATTCAAAATACAAAATTTTTATAGCTATATTTAAAATGTATTCTCTTATACTTAAAAAAAAAAAAATATATATATATATATAAAAA